ACGAAACTTACAAAAAACCATATATAAAAACCTATCTAATGAAACTTAAACAACGAATATTAACTTAATTAAAGTTATTTTCATATTGATAAATCGTTTAATACAAATATAAATATTATAAATATAGAATTATATCAAGTTTTGACATACGATATAAAAACATGAAATTTTCCATTTCATTATTAATTGGTGTCATTAGAAGAATCCACTAAACCAACAATCGAAAAAAATACACGCAAACATAATGATCCCGGCCCCGCGCTTGCGCGGGGAATATGCAACTAGTCTATACTAATAAAGCTGAAGTACAAAAAGTTAAGTGTTTGGAAACATGAATAGGAAATATTTTAAAATATGATGATTGGAAACAAAGATATCATACAAATCTAATGGGCTTATTTATTAAGGTACTATTATTATTGTTTTGGGGTTTTCTATCATTGATATTACTTTACTTTCACATATATATATTCATGTTTTAAATGTATTTAGAATAAATCAAGAATATTATATATTTTATTTATATAATTTATATGGACTATTGTTATAAGTTTTTAACAGTGATATACTAGCTTTCCAATTCTTCACTAAAAAATTAACTTAAAAATTTGACTAAATTATTTAGTGTATATAACTTTGTACCAAATTTAGCAAAAAAAAATTAACTTTATAAACTATTACTAAAATGTTTACGGGTCACAGCATTTTATGACGCCCATGTTACACAATACAATGATAAAATACAATGTTTAAATAGTAGACTATTACTTAGTAAAATTAGAACCATTAAATTGTAATTTTGAAATGTTATATACACCACAAAAATAAAGACTCGCCCAGTCGGGCGGACGGATTATGATCTAGTTTACGATTTAAAATGAAAGTCAAAAACAATTGAACATTTGAAGTTATCGATGCAGAAAAGGATGTTTTAAATAGGCGAAATTCGAAAGTCGGCGATATTTTGTTACCATTTTCTCTAAAAGTTATAATTCCAGGGAGATGGGAAATCAGTGTAAAAAACTTAAATGGGCTTTAGACCCAACCGAAGCCTAAAATGATCAATTTAATATCTCCATTCTCCCAGAGAGATTCATTTTCTTTTCTCAGTAAAATTCAAACAAAAAACATTATCAATG